CACATTTGTATCCACTAGATAGTTACGGCAATTTCAAAATTTCCAAGAGCGATGGTGATATACATATACTTTTTCTCTCTCGTGCACACACACACGTCTATTTTGCATATACATGTCCCTTTCTAATAAGGTGGGGTTGTGTCATTTCTCCATTTCCATCACATTATTTCTTCTTCCAAATGGATGAGATAATTATTTCCAATGCTCTAATATACATTTTGACCTACTACATATATATATATATATATATTTTTTTTTTCCTGCCAAAATTTTGTAAAAGAGAATTATATGTTCATACATAAGTATTGTAGTAGGATTTATGAATGTTTCAGAAGGGCAAAGGAAAAGTATCCGTCACCGTTGGCTGTAAATGCGAGGGAATGTGAATAATCCAAACATATACCTCCAAGAAACATTTATGGGCTTTGCTATACGTCCATATTTATCTCACGGAAACATTTATTGTCAATTGAACAAGATTAATATTTGAAAATCAAACAGGAATCTTCTTGACTACGATGAGTGCATGTATACAATATATATATATATATATATTTATTTATATATCCTTTTTTTTTTGTTTGAAAATGATACAATTATGTCCTTTTGGTAGAAAGGAATTTAACAAATTGATATACATGGATAACATAAGAGGCACAAATATGGAAACATCGTGTATCATGTGTACCAGTTTAATAGTAAAATGGATCTCTAGAAAAATGCCAAATATAGTGGCTTGAATGACAAGCTTTCTTCGTTTTAAAAATATAAATATCCGGTCATATACTATAGTAGGTCGACAGGCAAGTCTCACTATATATGTCATGTTATCAAAATATTGTAATTAGACTCAATAGACTGTAGAGGAGTAGCTGATACTATTATTGTTGGCTGTGAAATCATAAAACACAAGGGGAATGATGGTTTTGAAAGTATTTTATAAAGCGGATCTCACTAATTAGGTTGTCATTTAAAAAATTTTATAAATGTTTTATTGATGTCTATTGGCAAAACAATTCTCAACTATCGAAGCGTAACAAATTTCATAAGAGCAACTGTAATCATACCGGTCATTTTTCGCTCCACCCATTAGCTAAATAGTTAGCTATCTTAGAGAATGTCTTTCACACTAGTTAAATATAACTAGCATGAAGAGATTAGTCATTTATTTTTTTTATTATTTTATTCTTTCAACCCACAATAAATGTAAAGGTTATTTGTTAAGTTCAATAAAGTTATTCATATTTTAGATTCAATAAATATTAAAATAATCTATATTTAGCTAAAATATAAAATATGATTGGAGTGAGTCACTAAAAAATTATTAGCGAAAATAGCTTTCTAGTCTTTTTAGCTAAAATTTAACTATAAAGAGTTCCTTGAGGATACTCTAAGATCTTTTTTGCTATTAGTCTCATTCCTTGAAATAATTAGCATGTACGTATGACTGGTTGAATTTTCTTGGACCAAATTCTCCTTCCATCATTTTCTTGGATATAAATTTCTAAGCACTAAATGGGAGTACATAAAAACTCCAGATGGAGTCTAACAAAAGATCAAAATTAAAGCTAGTTGAGTTTCCCATTAACCTCGCTAATATATTTTTATCCGTGAGCACTGGTTATTATTAAATGGGTAATTTATTTATGATATTTCAAACATAAATCTAATTTGGTTTATATGATATTCATATATATTGAATAAGTTTGAGATCTCATTTACCCAAGTGCTCAAATAATACTCGTAGGATATGTTATTTCTCTGTATAATAAAGTTGTGAATTCTATATCTATGATTTAAGTTCTAAAATGCTTATTAATCATTTAATCAATAGATAGAAATGCATAATCGTATGGAGGCTTATGACATTTACTCACAAGGAATTACACTTACAACAATCTATGAAATTACTAAACCGAATTTTATTAAGGCCGGATTTAAAGTGCTCGAAATACATAGGTGTTTCTATTTTATAATCACTATATACTAGAGCAATTGAAGATAAGATTATTCCTAAGAATGAAAATTGACGTCACAATTTAATCAAAATAAAGTGCCTAATTTTATTTACCGATTGTAAAGCATTATTTCATACTATACCTTGTCACCTTAAAATGCTCACTCTAATGATCACTATAAAACAATCCAGTATAACATTATTTTTTTTAACAATAAGATGATTCATGTTGTATGAAGCTCACTATTGTGATAGAATTTTCTATGTTGTATTGTTACACACTCACTTTATAAGCATTATATCAAATTTACATCGGGGTTGGGGTCAATGGTCCCTACGGCTGGGGTCACTGAAAAATCAGTTCTAGATAAAATCTGATTAAATAGTTACCAGCAAACCGCGATGGAAAAATCTACTAAAAACGGTGTCTATACTAGAAATGAAATTATTGACAACAAAAAAAAAAAAAAAAAAAAAAAAAAAAAAAAAAAACCCCCAACCTCCCCAACAAAGCCTAATCGACTTGTCGAGACCATTTTTGGGTCTTATTTTTTTGTTCATACTCATCATATGATTTTCAATGAAAATTGTATGTCATATTACAATCAAGTAGTATCTAATTATTACCATGCAATATAATAAAATTCTAATAGTTCAGAAAATATTTTACACCATCATAGGTTTTCTAATTTATACGCGTCACCCCAACAAAGCCTAATCGACTTGTCGAGACCATTTTTGGGTCTTATTTTTTTGTTCATACTCATCATATGATTTTCAATGAAAATTGTATGTCATATTACAATCAAGTAGTATCTAATTATTACCATGCAATATAATAAAATTCTAATAGTTCAGAAAATATTTTACACCATCATAGGTTTTCTAATTTATACGCGTCACTATATAATTGCTTTTTCTTTTTTTTTTTAACCACGCTATAAATATTCGTTGTTGTTAATAATAGAAGACCCGAATTGGGGACTGTATCAAATAATTATGTTTGTGTATTAACTCTCTGTCATGTGTTATATATATATATATATATGTGGATCTCTATCAATGAGGAATAGTTAGGTGGTGGCAAATTCCCAAATACATGTTAGGAGATAACAAAATTAAATTGGAAGAAAGTCCTACTACCACGTACCACACGTAGCTATCTACAGGACAAAAAAGGGGAGCCTGCATTAAAAGGTGGGGAACGAGGTGCACGTGGTCCCAAAGAAAGAGATGAAAAAAAAAAAAAAATGAACTAGCAAAAATAAAATAAAAATGTTAACCAAAATATTTATGTTTATTAATTTTTTTTTTTTAAAAAAAAGCAAAAGAAAATGAGAAATGAGAATTGGGAACTATTTTTGGTAGCTCCAATCTGTGTTTTCGCTTTTTTGTTTTGGTTTGATATGCGAAAGAAAATCAGCAAACAACACCCAGTTTTCTAAAATTTCCCCAACACCAAAATGGGTCTTTCTTTCCTTCAAAATTAATGGAAAAGGTTCTCTGCTTACTGACTCCTGTACCCCCTCTCTTGGCTCTCTCTCCTGATTCTGATAAAGTTATGTCTCTCTCTCTCTCTCTTTCTCTCTCTTCTCTCTCTGTATCTGTTTGTGTGTTGTTTATGTTGAGAGGGACGAGACCCTGTGCATAACCATTCTAACTGTGGCACTGAAAAACATGGCGTTTTTATAAGCATTTAAAAGGAACACAAATGCAGTGAAAACGACTTCCTATCTTTCTATTTCTCTCTCTCCCCCCATTGAATTTTGCTTCAAGTTTTTAAGTCAGCACCTTTGCAAAATCCCGTTGTATTATTTATTATTATTTTTCTAACTTTATGTTATATTTTTGGTGACATGGTCCCAGGAGATATATATAATACGAGAAAAACTTGTATCATTTCTTTTATTTTTTATTATTTTTTATATTTATTGTTTAAATACGTGAAATTTATTATCTTATTTTTATTTAAATAATAATATTTCATATTAATATAGTGTATTTATCAAATAATAAATATAAAAAATAATTAAAAAAAACTCATATTAGTGTTTTTCTATATAGTAATAATGTAATACTGTTATCTGTCAAGATTGACATATTTATTAATTTCCAAGTGTCACCAATTTCTTTTAACAATGTAGAACGGCCCGTCTTTAAAAGAACCCTACTTTTCTCTGACCTTCAAAATTCGAAATCTAGAAGAGAGAAACTACTGTACACGCACTAGTCTGGTCTATTTAGATTAAGGAGACGTTTGATTCACGAATTAGAACCATATGATTAGAATTATTTTTTATTTACGTGTATTTTTGTGAGAGTATTTTTTATGAGAGAAAATACTGTAACGAATAACGAATCATGATTCAAATCAGAAACTAATCCCCCAAACCAAATAATCCCTAAAAAGTCGTTGTACGTCATATATATATATATATATGTATATATGTATATATAAAAGTGAATGGGACAATTCTGGTTTCAGAGGGTGATGATTAATTTTGTAGTAAAATTAGTTATGACTTTAATATTTATTTCACTTGTAAGCATTGATTGAAATAATTAATACAACTCAACTTTTTCTAACAGCTGCTGTGATATTAATATATCATATTACTATTCTTAGTAATAGTACTGTAAAATTAACATGGAGATATATGCATGTGTTACGTCATGTATTATACAATGAAGTACATACATTTGGAAATAATTAGCATACCCGAAATATACAGTAAATTAACTCTTTTATTTATTTATTTTTTTATCATTTTCGGTCAATTTTTTCTTTAAGAAACAAATGATCATATATTGAATCAACAACACCCCAACAATGGAGCAGAAAATAAAGAGACCTACAAACGACACAGAAAAAAGAAAGAGCTGACAAGATTAATAATAATAATAAAAAAAAAAAAAGAGAACCGAGAGAGAAAAGATCATTATGAAAGGAGTTTCGTTTCCATTCTTTTGCATTTCATTTTTTTTTTTCCTTTTCAAATATAACGTTATGAAAATTTTAAAATTCAAAAAAAAAAAAAAAAAAAACAACAACAACAAACATCCCTTTTTCCCCCCTCGAGTAACACATAACATGGTTGTATTATTATTACTATTATCATAATTACCACGTTTTTCTTTCTGTCACCACTTGACAAATATTCTTTACTACTCTCCTTCCCCTTCCGTGGTGGCCGACGACATGTAACTCATCGCCAACGACGTTGTCTCGTCTGACGGCCCCCCCAACGCGGCCGACGACGGCGTCGTTTGGAACTGCTGCTTGCAGGCTTGGCAAGTGATCTGCAAAATGGTGGAGCTTATCTTCTTCGTCGCTTGCTCTCTAAGCAACTGAGCCTTTTCAAGCTCAGCCTGCGCTTGTTGCCTTATTCTCTTGGCATTCGCAAACTCCTGCTCGGAGATCTCGATCTGTCGCTTTGCCTCTCTCCTGGCCTCCTCGGCATAAGCCTTCTCCGCCATGGCCACCTTCATCAGCTCCTCGGAGCTCGGCTTATTAATGTTTGCCGTTTCCGTCGTTTCGTCGCACCCGATCGAGAGCTTCAACCGGGTGGAGAAGTTCTCGTCGGGCGAATTGTGGAGTGGTGACGACGACGGAAGGAGTTGAAGCTCGAGAAAATGTTGCTGCCGATGATGATTACTAGAATTATTAGTAGTAGTAGCAGTGCTAGAAGGTTTAGTACTACTTCTCTCGGAACTGAAGAACAACGGTTCCATCGGCTTCGGCAAATTGAGAACTCTGGCGGGCAATATTGGAGTGGCAATGTTGCCGAAATTGGCTTCGCTCGACGGGCTCGTGCTCGATGCGGTGCGAGACGAGCAGGCGGTGGCGGCTGCGGCGCCGGCCGTACTGGAGGGCTGCAGTGCCTGCAATTCGGGCCTGACCGTCCGGACCGTGCAACTGTCTTGGTGTTCAATGAAACTCTCAACTCTGATAATCATAAAAGGGACAAAGAATTATAAACCAAGTCAATCAATAGGGAAACAAATAGTATTTATATAAACACATACATATATATATAAGAGCTTCTTGTTGTTATTGTTGTAGGGTTAGCAAAAGAATATGCAATAGAAAAAAGGAAAAAAAAAAAAAAAGGAATATTAGGATCTGCAGCGGTGTAGTGGATATTGTTGTAACTATATATAGTTAATTAGGACATGGATTATATTAATAACAAATGGGAATTAAAGAAATGATATATATATATATATGTATGTATGTAATATGGGGTCTGGTCACTAGTGTGTTTTAAGGGTGTCAAATAACGATCTTATTGGGAATAGGGATAAAATATTTTCAGCGCTCTCTCTAGCTGATTTCCGAGTACTTCCATTGGCTGGCTTAGATCACACTCACACACAGACACAGGTAAAAAAGCATATGAGGTCAGGTGTACGACGAGAGAAAAACATTTAAACTCATCTTTTAAACAGTACTGTCTCATCTTCCTCAGAGAAAAACAACAAAAAATTTGAGAAGACATGAACGAACACAAACACCACAGCAAAAAAATAAAATAAAAAAAAAAGAAAGAGAGCTTGCTCAAATCCAAATTAATGCCATTTATTCCATAAAACTCCGTTTAGGGTTTGAACAAAAAGAAAGAAGCTGTTCCAGAAATCTTCCATATATTTAGCAATTCACCCAAGAAAACCAAATTAACCCAATTATTATTAATTCAAAAAGGTCATATGTACTCATTAAGTTATCTGTTTTCTCTCTTTCACGAGAATTCATAAGAAAGAAGGAAGGAAGGAAAGATCGAAATTGAGATTATTATTGTAAATACTATTATTATAATTAGATAGTGTTAATATTATTGAAGCAATTACCTAGAAAAGACACGGCCACAGTCACAAGAATGGCCGCGGGTGCCACAGGTCTTGAGGTGGGCCTTGTAATCGGACTGAACAGCGTAACCCTTGGAGCACTTGTCGCAGACCCACTGCTTGTGGTTGCTGTGCTTTCTCCTGAAGTGCTTCTTGATGCCGACGAGATCGCCGAGGGCGTGGCAAGGGTCGTGGTGCAAGCAGCTCGGCTCGGGGCATACGAAGACCCTCTTCTTCACCTCCTGCGTCTCCCTCTTCAGCAGCTTCCACGGCACCTTGTGCCTCCTCCGGTGCATCTGCAGGTTCTGGTCCCTCTGGAACCCTTGGTTGCAGATCTCGCACACGTACCGGTCCGACTCCAATAGCGTCTTCGGCGATAGCGACACAACTTCTGCGTCCGGATCTATGCAGAGAGAGAGGATAACTGATATCAGAAACAACTAATTATAAAAAGCAAAGGCCGGCGTATATATATATATATATATATATATATAGGCGTCGAATTATATAAAATTCGACCATAACACAATTAATTAATTAAGCCAAAATTGAAGATAATTGAATTGAAAATTTTCGATTTTGTTACTGATCATAAAGAAGTGTGTACTATAATATTACCTGGTGTGCCTGCTGGTCTTCTTTTTCTTTTGTTGTTGTTGTTGGATGTGGTGGTGGTGGTGGTGATCCCATTTTCTGAGGGGTCAGGGAAAGGAATATGGTGATGATCAGAAGAAGAAGCAGTGTTGTTGTCAAGCATGAGGGGGTGAGAGATTTTTTGTTTTGTTTTGTGTTTTAGTGGGGGAGACTATGAGCGAGCTATAATATTGTTTGGTGTTTGGTGCTGTTTTTGTTGAAAGGAAAAGAAAGGAAGTAAATACTACACACAATCTATCTACAGCTGGTGAAGTTGGAATAGTGGGTTTTCTGCTTTACTCATGGAGAGAGATAGAGTGATAGCTAGATTGAGAGAGAGAGAGAGAGAGAGAGAGAGAGAGAGAGAGAGAGAGAGAGGGGAGGGAAAAAAGAGAGGAACAAAAGCTCTTGCTTTCTGCAATCAACTTTCTTTAAACTTTAAGGCTTTTTAGCCTCTTTTATCTTTTCTCTTTTCTATTTTTTCCATGAGCCTTTTTTTTTTTTTTTTTTTTTTTCCTTTTTTTTTTTTTTTTTTTTTTTTTATTTTCTTTCTTTCTTTTGTTTCATTGACCCCTCACCTTGAGCAGGTAAGGTTGAGGGAAGTCTTGTATATAAAGCTCTCTCTACAGGAAATGGAATAGGGAGGAAAGAGAGAGTGTTTGTGGGGTTGCTGACCCAATCACATTTGCTTAAAAATCTGAGCCCCACACACAGAATTCGGACAGAAACAAAAAAACATCCTCCCCATAAGAAAACAAACAGTCATTATACATATCACACACTGTAATTTGCATGAATAAATGCCAAAGGCTAGACCTCCATTACACGTGAGTTCATGTCCTCCTCACGTGACAACATAAGCCCCCTCCTTACTCTCTAACTTTCTCTACTTTTTTTTCCTCTTAAAAAGCAAAAGAGGGTTAAAAAAAAAGGAAGAAAAAGGCAAAACAAAAAAAAAAGAGCAATGAGGTTTGTAGGTTGAGAGTTTTTAGGATCAGAAAAAATAAAATATTGATAGTTTTTTATTCTTTAATTGATAAATTTGTATAAAAAATTATCCGTTTAATATTTTTTTAATATGATATGATTTTTATTAAATTTAACAGTTAAAAATTAATATTAAAAAAAACTCAGAAGGAAGTGTGTGGCTTCGTTTTGTGACCCAAAGGAACTGTTTGCTTAATTGGTTGGGGGAATATGGACTAAACAGCCTAAAACCAGATTAGTGTTTCTCGGAAGCAGCTTCTGAAAAAGGTGAGAAAGGAAGCACGATTAGTCACTTTCACGAGGGCAGTAATCATTTCTAGAACTTCATTTTTCTTCCCGTTTCAAGCCAAAAATATTTTTTTGCCGCCTTCTTGTTTTATGTACAAACAATATAATGCTGTACCGTACCTTCAACTAATTCAAGTTTCTGTTTCTTTTGTGTTGCAATAAAGTCGCAATCCAGGAGGGTAAATTTTCTAACGAGCTCGTTAAAAAAATAATTTAAAAAAAAAAAAAAAAAAAGCCCATGCTACGGTCTTTCCGTTTTCTTCTTCTTATCATTACTATTACCTTTTTTTCTATTGGAATTATTTATTACATTTCAGGATCTTTAGCTCTTCAAAATATCGAGGTGCTTTATTTCTTGCATACGTTGTTGCATCTAGCCAGACGTCAAAGTTATATGAATATACACGTAAAAGGAAAAGTACTATACCATTTTCCCTACAGATTTTTTGACAATTAAAAACGAAATAAACTAATAAAATATAATAAGTATTTTATGGTTTAGGGTACAGGAAAAAAAATACTTCAACCTCTAGATTTGTTTTTTTTAAATGCGGCCTGACATTAAAAAATCCGCAGTACCAATGGTGGATACTTTGAAGGGTAATTGCAAACTTTAGGGTTGTTTTTTTTAGTGTAATTTGAGTGTAATTTTTGAGTTAAATTTGAGTTATAACTTGAGTTGAAGTTGTAACTTGAATAAAGTTGAGTGAAGTTCAATAAAGTTGAAACTTAAAAGAACGTGAACTTAAATAAAGTTGAAACTTGAGTTGTCTTTTTTTGAATTTTTTTGTACAAAAAAACGTGCCCTTTGTTTTTTTTTTTTTTTAAATTATTTCCAGAGAAAAAAAGGGTACCGCAAAAACAAAGGAAAAAAAGGGAAAGGGTTTTAAAATTTGCCTTAAATATATCGAAACCACGTCTAATTTTTTTCCAATATGGAAAATTGTAAATTAAAGTATAGTTAACATTATCTATCCAATACAGTACAAGGTAAATAAAAATACAATTCAGGTTATGGCCATAATTTAATTTTTTTTTTAAAAACAGTTTATCGAAATATATATATATATATATATATATATTTCTTACTAAAAAACTACATATTTTTTCCTGATGTTTTGATTTAAAAAATTTCCAATGTACCCGTAAACACCTTTTTAAGCGTAACTAAGTATCGGTTAATTAAAGTGGCCTTTTAATATTTTCTTGATAATTCAAATAGTTCTTCCTTAAAATATAAATTCAAATGAGTGAACGGTAACAAATATATATTTATATATGTATGTATGTATAAATATTTTGTATGTAGATTTTGGTAATTTTTAGGGTCTTTTTATTTTAGTGTATCTGCAGGTTATTATGTGTATGTGACCGTTAGGTGATTCACATATACATATATGCATACATAATGTATATAAATAAGTTTTTAATGGTCACGTTTTTATAGTGGTTACTCATTAAATACAAAAATTAAATGGCGTGACTTGATAATAACATAATTTTATTAATTGTTATAAATCACATTAACATAAAAATGAGTATAAAATAAATAAAGCTTGATGAAAATCTGGCAGTTTAAATCCTACCAAAATGTTCTTATTTTACTTAACTTCTTATTGATAAAGGGTCTTGGTGTAATTAGCTTTATCAAAGAGTAAAATAAGTGTAGTTTAATTTGATAAAAATTAGGGATATGTCTTGACCAAAGAATGCTGAAAAACATTTGACATGATAGCAGCCTTTGTCAACAAATTAAAAAGAAAGTGGTATTTTCGTAGCTAGAAAGTATTTGTTAAAAAGATTACTTAACTAGCTAGTATTAAGGACATAAATTCATGCATGAAATTTAATCCACCAACTCAAACTACAATTTTTGAATCACACAATTTCTAAATGATTAGGTCCCTATTTATAAAAGTAGGGGCGTACAATAATGCATTAATTATTTGGTAGCCACGTGTGGATAAAATCTGGTTCATAAACTTGGTGTTCTTTGTATTATTCATTCTAGCCATCACATTTTATTTTCCCTTATAATTTCGCTTCCCATATTATCCCTAAACTTTTTCGTGAAATTGACACCTTACACCACAAGGAAACTATAAAACTCAACATATAATTAGGAGGGGGACACACGATTAACAGGTGAAGGATTTTCATGAGGAATCCTTTTTTTTTTTTTTTTTATAGTCAGCAATATTCACTTTAATTAATAAGTATTACTAACAATAATGAGGACAATGTTTGCCATTTGCAATATCCCGCTTCTTTTAATGTTTGCCATTTTCTTTTTGATCAGTTAATGTTTGGCATTTGCAATATCTGTATATGTCACGTAGTTATCCAAACTAAAAAAAAATTAGTTCCCTAGGATCTAGCACAATATCTATATATTTTGTTAAAGTATAAAATTATATTGTTGGTCCACCTCCTAACAGCTTAAGCTTTTGAGATTGATTGTTAAACTAACATGGTATCAGAGCGGAAAGTCTTGAGTTCAAATCCCCATAATTACACTCTTTATTCACATTTAAATTGTCATCATGTGTTAGGTCTTTAATATATCTCGGGCTTGAATATTCATGTGTTGAGCTTTCTAATTAATTTACCCACATGATTGCCCATTGTCCAGCCTACACGTGAGAGGGGAGTATTAAAGTATAAAACTATTGTTGGCTCATATCCTAAACTTTTGAAATGAATTGATAAACTAATAAATATATATATATATATATGTATATATATACCACTTTTCTATCATCTTAATCATAAAGTGCCACCAGCACCAAAGTCTTAATTCCACTATCACAACCATACCCCATACCTAGTTGTTAGTTTACGTCTCTATGTTACATTTGTCCACATATTCTTGTAACGCTTTTTTTTTTTTTCCTAATTTTGTGCTTGCCCCACCAATTCCATGGTCTTCTATGTTACACCGTTAATACCATCAATTAACGAAAATTTTAGACGATTAATATAAATAAATATTCTCATACTTCTTGGGAAATTAGACGTATTAACTAATTTACGGCAGAAATGCTTGTAATTTAGAGTAGAAATCTAAAGTAGTACACTCTAATTTGAGAGCAAGGTATTGAATTGAATAAATATATGGTCTCAAATCATTTAAAAAGAAAAAACTATATCTGATCTAAAAACGGATAATGTACTCTTATACCATTCAGAAATTTTATGCCGATGTATTTTTTTCATGCCAATGTAGTTTCAAAAACTTTCGTGCCAATATATTATTTAGAAAACTCGCATTGCAACTTAATTAATGATTTAAATTTACAATCTGAATAAACAAATTTTTTTCAACAAAATGAACTTTTTGTCTACTACCAATTTTCATTACATAAATAGAAATGAACATGAACGCAAAATGAGAAATTTTTAAGAAAAACCCGAAAAAAAAACTTGAATTTCTGTAATGGATATTATTAATGAAAATTACTTTTAATGTAGGACCAAGAAACTTCTGTTTAGCAAAACGCAATACGTACAGTACCTTGAAAAATATTTTGAAGCAATGATACTTTGAACTATAAGCACCACTTAAACATAGTTTCTTCTTTGAAATAAGCACTTGGCCTGTCAAAATTCTCAGAAAAATAATAACCGGAAGGTATTTTTAAAGAAGGCAATTTTTCAAATTTATACATATATGTATATAATATATATATATATATATATATGAAACTTAGTTATTGCTTCTAAAAGTGTTTAGTTCCAACCATTTATATATTTTGTAAGGTATAAAGCACCTTGCAAATTTTGTTATCTAATATTGCTTCGTTGAAATTACTATAATCCATGTTACCCGAAAACAATATCAATATTGTTATCATAATCATGGCATATACTAGTAAGGAATCACTCGAAATTAATTAACTACTAATAAAAGTCCAGAATTGATCTTTTGACTCACGAAAACACTTGTAGAAGGGGCTTCAAAAACTAAAAATAAAAATTGATAAACTTAACGACATTGAAAAAAAAAAATACATGGACGTCCTTAAAAAAAAAAAAGTATGATATGTTACCAAATTAACGCTGTCGGAAGGTTTTTCTTCTAATTTATTTATTTTACACACTTTTTTTTTCTTTCTAAAAACCTTTCATTTACACATGACTATGTGCCTCTTATAAGAAGTATAATTTCCAAGAGAATACGCATATAACTACGTACCAGGATGCAAGAAA